ACAGCAAACCCAGCCTCTCAGCCCTGCCCAGCCCTGTCGTGACCTCAGGAGGGAACGTGACCCTCCAGTGTGGCTCAGGGCAGGGATTTGACAGGTTCATTCTGACTAAGGAAGGAGATCACAGGCTCTCCTGGACCCTGGACTCACAGCCACAGCCCACTGGGCGGTCCCAGGCCCAGTTCCGTGTGGGCCCTGTGACCCCCAGCCACAGATGGACGTTCAGATGCTATGGCTATTTTGAGAAGCATCCCCAGGAGTTGTCTGACCCTAGTGACCCCCTGCATCTACTGGTCTCAGGTGAGGGGCCCCTGATCCCATCCTCTTTGAGCACAGGCAGCTCAGGGTCCTGTCTCCATGAGACATCTGAGGTTGGATGAGAGTGAGGGGTCTGAGTGTTGGTCACCCAGCAGAGATTTTCTCTCAGAGACGCGCCCACTTTTGCTGAGTCCTCCCCATGAACTGTTTTGGGAAGTGGTTAAGTGGGCGGGGGGAGTGTCTTTGGTGGTCACAGAGCAGAAGTAGGAGAAGCAACTGAGTGATTTGGAAACTCCAGAGTGAGCCCCAGCCTCACCTATTTCTATCCTCATTTCCAGGACCCTCTGGAGGCCCCAGCCCCCCACCCACAGGTCCCACCTCCACAGCTGGTGAGTCCCGGGGAGCTCTGCTCAGAGAGAGCACAGCCCACACAGCAAGTCCTGAGATTCTGTCAGGGGATTGAGTGTCCCAGATCCTCAAGGACGGGCTTGTGTCCCAGGGGGGCTGGGAGACCCAGGGCTCTGAGGCAGTGATGGTTGGTGTGGTCATGGCAGAGGGGGACATGGGGGTGTAGGCTGGGGAGGAGGAGCTGAGCTCTAGTGAGATAAGGCAGCCCCCACCCCACACCATTCATCCTCATTGCCAGGAGGCTCTAAGTCATGCCTACAGAGGGGTACGTGAGAGTCCTGCGGAGGTGGTGGTTCCCTTCATGGGGACAGGGGCTGAACCATGGGGGGTTAAGGGGTTCAGGTTCCTCTGGATTTGCTGACATGGACACCCCTTCCCCTGTCTGGGCTCGGGATTCAGGTTCCTCTGGATTCGCTGACATGGACATCCCTTCCCCTGTCTGGGCCTCAGTGTCTCTAAATGAAAATGAGGGAATCCTTTTCCAGAGCTTAGATTTCCTGTCAGTTCTGGCCCTGACCTCCTGGGAGAGGGCCTCACAGGGAAGCCCCCAGGACGTGATGTTATGGGGCCTGTCCCCTCTGTAGGGTCCTACCCCTGAGCTCAGGCTCAGCTCAGAGGAGGGGACAGGGTGGATCAGCCCTGGTTCAGCTCCTGGCTCTGCTGCTCCTGCTGTGGTGCTGGGCAGTCCCTTCTCTTCTCTGAGTGTCGGGTTCCTGTCTGCTCATTCCTGGTCCCATCCTGCTCACAGGCTGCTGGGAGATGAGGTGACCAAAGGGCCTCACAAGCTCAGGAAGGCGAGACCCCAGCCCAGCCTGACCTTCCCATGGGGTGTCAGGGCCTCCCAGGTTGAGATGGAACCCGGAGAGACTCAGAGTCCACACCACACCCTGACCCTCCCTATCCCTGCTGTGCTGCGGGCAGGGAATGAGGAAGGACCCTCAGCTCCAGATGAGACATGGACAGGCCCTGCAGAGGAAGAGCCCAGAGCACGAAGCTAGTCACCCCCTGGGGGGCAGTGTGAGGACAGCAAAGGGAACCCACAATCCTGGGTTCCAGTCCCAGCCCCTCTCCTTGCAGGCTGGGTGACCTGGGGCATGTGGTTAATCTCTCTGAGTCTCAGTGAAGTGGATGGTGGGTTCAGCCATCCCTGGTGCATGAGATGAGAGGACATGAGTGACAGACCCCAGCAGGAGACTCACACACAGTAGGTGCTCATTAAATGGCATCCTTGGCTCATTCATGACATTATGAGGGGGAGATAGGCTGCCAGGTCTTTCAGGTCTGATTCCTTCCCAGAGTCGTCCCCAAACTCTCCATCTGGGCTGACCCAGGACCCATTGTCACCAAGGGAAGCCCTGTGACCATCTGGTGTCAGGGGTCTCTTTGTTTCAATTTGTTTTGTTTCATTATGGTTTCTTAGGAATGCTCTTTTTCTGACAGATACACATCTGCCCAAATTACCTTTTCTCTATGACTTCTTACCACATGACACACATTACAAAGG